TGCCCTGGACAATTAAAAAATGGCCCCTGTGTTTATTTAAGGGGGTACATCAAAGGCAGGGATAAGGTTTCAGGAGTGGAATTTTGCTTCATGGTGTCTTGCAGTCAGCAGGTTGATTGGCATCTTGGCAAGTCACACCTATCTCTGAGAGTCTGTGTGGCTGCAGCAGGTCACCCCATTTCCGGTGCTGTGTGGGACCTTTGGCAGGGCTCACAATGTGTCTGGGCAGTCAGACAGAGGAAATGTCCACTGGAAGTTCCCAGACACCATTTCTCCTACCTGTTAGACTGCGAAGCCAGTGTAGTTCACACACAGCCCACAGAAGGCTCTAGACAAGTTTTCAGTTTTTGTGAGTTTGTTAAAACTAGTGCTTTGTGAGGCCGAGCATATTGTCTATTCTGGAAAATGTTTTGTGTGTAACTTGAAAAGAATGTGCATTCTGCTGTTTTTAAAATAAATATTCTGTATATGTTTGTAATGTTCTATGTATGTATGGATGTATATTGTTGTTATTTTTATAGTGTTCCAGCCACAAGAATTATGAATCAAATAAATCTTTTTTTATACGTTATTCAGTGTCAGGTATTTTGTTATAGAATGCAAAATATACTGAGGCACAATGCATTAATAGAATGAAGTACAACAATTATATGATTAAAAAGGCACACTCATACATTGCTGGTGGGACTGCAAATTGGTGCAGCCGATATGGAAAGCAGTATGGAGATTCCTTGGAAATCTGGGAATGGAACCACCATTTGACCCAGTTGTCGCTCTCCTGGGTTTATACCCCAAAGACTTAAAAACAGCATACTACAGGGACACAGCCATATCAATGTTTATAGCAGCACAATTCACAATAGCTAAACTGTAGAGCCAACCTAGATGCCCTTCAGTGGATGAATGGATAAAAAAAATGTGGCATATATACACAATGGAATTTTACCCAGCAATAAAAGAGAGTAAAATCATGGCATTTGCAGGAAAATGGATGCAGCTGGAGAAGATAATGCTAAGTGAAGTTAGTCAATCCCCCAAGAAACAAATGCTGAATGTTTTCTCTGATATAAGGAGGCTGATTCATAATGGGGTAGGGAGTGGGAGCATGGGAGGAATAGATGAATTCTAGATAGGGCAGAGGGGTGGGAGGGAAAGGGAAGGGTCAGGGGATTAGCATGGATGGTGGAATGTGATAGACATTATCCAAAGCACATGTATGAAGACACGAATTGGTGTCAGCATACTTTATATACAACCAGAGATAAGAAAAATTTTGCTGTATGTGTGTAATAAAAATTGTGATGCACTCCACTGTCATTCATTTTTAAAATAATCAATAAAATCAATCAATAAATAATATGATTATTTGAATTATATGATTATCTTCTGTATGGAATATAAAAAAATAGAAGTCAATTTAGCAATGAGTAGAATGGTGGTTTCCAGGGTCTGGGAAGTGGGGGGAATAGGAGATGTGGGTCAAGGGGTACAAAGTTTCAATTTGCAGGATGAATAAATTGTGATTATAATTAATAGTACTTCATTGTACATATAAAATTTGCTAGCCAGTAGATCTTACCAATCCCCACACTCAAATGATAATGGTGTGAGATGATAGTTATTTAATTAGCTTGGTTGTGGTAATCATTTCATAACACATATGCACATCAAAGCATTGTCTACTATATTGTCTACTATAAATATATAAGTATTTGTAAATATGTATATATATATATATATGTAAATTATGTATTTATTAAAAAGGTGGGAAAGCTTGGAATGGTGAAGCACATTTGCAATCCCCCTGCCCAAATAAAAGGGCTGGGGATGTGGTTCGGTGATTAAGCACCCCTGGGTTCAATCCCTGATACCAAAAAAAAAAAAAAAAAAAAAGGGAAGATGCATTGAAATGTGTTTAGAAAACAAATGTATCAGAGTGACCAGCACCCTGACAGAAGAGTTCCCTGTCCGGGTGTGAGCTGCCTGGGAAAATAAAAAGTCTGAAATAATCAATAAGAAATAAAGACAGATCCAGAAATTAGATAYAAAAAGCAGAGCATCTGGTGGGTCTTCCAATTCCTCTCAACAACTGAAAAAGGCCTRGATTCYTTATATAATGRGGAGTACATTAAAGGMAGGAATAAGGCTTCAATGGAAGGAATCTTGTTTCAGTGCTGCTTCTGGGTGTGGCAGGGGTCTTGCAGTAAACAGGTTGATTGACTTTTAGTAAATGACACCCATCTACAGGAGGTATCTGGCTCCAGTGGGTCACTCCCATCTCTGGTGCTGTTAGAACTTGAGCAGTGACCTAGGCAGGGGGGTCTCGTGAATCAGGCATTCTTGAACCAGTGGATTCCTACTGGGAGTTCCCGATACCAGGCTTCCCTGCCTAATGGCACCAACATTGTTCAGTTTACCCACAGTTCATAGATGACTTCCAGAAAAATGTATTTCATCTTACAGGCACAGAACTCATGCAGAGGTTTCCTTTTTTAAAAATCATTTGTAGCATTCTCAATTTTTTGAGGACATGCAGTTAAAATCTCATCTTATATTTTTATTTCTTCCCATGTGAGTTGCCTAAAAGCACACCTGAATCAGGGATGGGTACAGATTGTTCTCCCTAGAGGTGTATTTTAACAAAAAAAGTCTTTGTCTTTCTATGCCCTACTCAAAGAATGACATAACTCTGAAGTTTTAGATTTATTTTCTATTGATGCATGTAATAATACATAATAATGGGATTTTTTTCCTGTATTTGTACATGCACGTAACATAATTTGATCAATTTCCCCAGGACCTCCAATTTCCTTCCCTCCTCTTTCCCTTACTCTACTATACTGGTCTCTCTTTATAGTCATGAGATTCCCTCTCTTCCCCTTCCTGTTTTTTCTTTCTAGAGAAAATATGAGAAAAAAAAATACAACCTTTGACTTTCTAAGTCTGGTTTACTTCATTTAATATAATGCTCTCAAGTTCATCCATTTCCCTAAAAGTGACATAACTTTGTTTTTGCTCAATAAAATTCCACTGCATTATGTGTGTGTGTGTTGTGTGTGTGTTTGTGTGTACTTTTCTTTATCAATTTATTTGCTGATGGACACCTAAGCTGGCTTCATAATTTGTCCATTGTGAATTATCTTGCTATAATTGTGGGATATACATAAATCACTATAGTATGCTAATTTTAATTTCTTTGAATAAATACTGAAGAATGGTATAGCTGAGTCATATGGTGGTTTTATTCCCAGTCTTTTGAGGAAAATCCATATTGATTTCCATAATGGTTGTACTAATTTACAATCCCACTAACAGTGTATATATGTTTCTTTTTCCCAAAATTCTCATTAGCAGATCTTATTTTTATTCCTGATGACTCTGCCTTTCTAACTGATGAACTCTCAATGTAGTTATGATTTGCATTTCTCTAATTACTAAAAATGTACATTTTTTCATATATTTGTTGGACATTTGTAATTTTTTTTTTAATTTGAGAGGTATCTAATGTATTTGTCCAGTTTTTGGTTGGGTTATTTATGAGTTTTTTTGTGATAAGTGTTTTTTTTTTTTTGGTTCTTTATATATTCTGCATATTAATCCTCTGTTGGAATAGCAGCTGAACCTTATCATTGGCTGGAACCCAGGACTCAAACTCTTGCAGGATTCTCTCCATTTCTTTTCTTTATGTCTTCTCTCCTCTTCACCTGCCTCACCTCCTCCTAGTAGCTGCTCCAGAGGTTCAATTGCTGATTCATCCCAAGCCTCATGACCTAAAGTTTCCACCAATGGTCCCAGTCCCAGCTGGTACAATGCAAGGGGAGCACTCTAGTTTGAACTTTCTTGGGTTAATCAGATTAAGCTGGGAAAGTAGGATCACCTCAGGGACCGGAGATCGCCAAGTAAACCACATTGGTACAGCATGTGTGTGTTGGGGAAGCAAAAGGATGAGAACAGTGGGAATGGAGGTGGGGTTTATCATAGGATTACCCTAAAAATTCAAGTATGCTATTCCTAGAAAGGGAGGTTTATAGGCAGACTAAAAAAAATCAAATGTACCTATAAGGCACTTCATTAGATGCTGGACAGAAAGATATTTTTGTAATTCTAGAAACATTTAGGGTGAACACTTACTTATTTATTTATTTTATGACCACCATCATAAGACAGGTCAGTTGGTTCAGGAATTGACTTTCTTGCCCGTGACAAAAAATATGCTCCTACTCCACAGTCCTTCATTAGAAGTTTTAGACTCTAAATCCCTGGGGCCCAATGATAGCGTGGCTTTTGCTGATGCCCAGGAGATTTCCTGCAGCCCTAGGAGATTCCACTTTCTGCTATTAGCTGAGCAGAATGCTCTGGAGTTCTACTTCTTCTCTTTCTTGAGTCACAGAGATTCACAATCAGAAGGAACAATTATTAGAAAGTCCAAGTGTCACTGAGGACTTTGACTTTCAAAAGTGCTATCTTTTTTTAATTGCCCACTGTGAATCAGCAGCCACTGATTTATCTTTTAAAGTTATCTATATTTCATACCAACATCAATTCTTTAAATAAAATATAGCAACCAAGTTTAAAATACAATTTATTTTTCTAGAGGTAACTCTTTCAAGAAGACAGATAATGGGGACATACATATTTGGTTATCTTCTTATTTTAAAAAAGATCAGCATCTATATTTTGAATACTATAGAAATGATGTAATTTCTCAGTTCCAACTCTGACATGTGTCAAATGAATTAAAATATGAATACAAAGTATTTCAGGATAAATAAAGATATGATACCAAGAGGTAATATCAAGTCATGTTTTGCTTTAAATTTAACTTAATGCCTAGTGTAGGTTCAATAAAAATATAAAAGCTAGGTTAAATGTAAGTGCATCACTTGAGAGGCAATGCCAATTTCCACAAAGAAAGTTTTATTGCACAAAAATCATCTGGGAAAAGAGTATTCTACATATATGAATTTCCTAGAAAATAATATTAAGCATTGTATAGGAAATGTTTCCAAATTTCTCATCTACTTACTTGGCTTTTTTCATCAAGTTAGGGACTGGATTCTAACCTCTTTAGGATACTTACGTGGGCACTGTTACTGACTCTACCTGTAAATGCCCCAGACAACAGTGTTTTGAAAATGGCTGTGGTTTTGTAACTTCTTCATTTGATATCCATTCCTTGCTTCTATCTATGGGTGCCTTTTGAAAATTGAAACAAACCAATTTTGTTACAATTATTTATTGAAAGTTTTGGAAAAAAATCACTGAGTATTAGAAGTACTGTGTATCAAAACATTTCAAGGAATGTGGATCAGATTATCAGATTGACAAGTATGCTGTGCAGAAATGAATTCACTAAAGGCCTAATCTCTAATTGAGATATTATTGGGTTGTTTACTAAAGATGAATGGCTTCTTTGTTCCCTTAAGAGTGAAGGAATTTTTTWAAAAAACAGCAGGGGGTAGAGGGTTTAAACCAGAGGCAGAGTCCTGAGTTCTTAAAACACATCTAGGCACAAACCTAAGGTCCACAGAGCATATTGCAATAGATGGTGTCTTAGAATGAAGGGGGAAGATTGAGAGTGTAGACCTCTATCTGTTTCTAGCCCTATCCCAACTAGCATGACTTTGGGCAGAAATTTACCTTCTTGTTGATTCTATTCCTTTACATAAGAGAGTACAGCAGGTAAACTATAAACTCCCAGTTTATCTGAAAGCCATTAGCTAACCCTATAAGGCACTAGATTACCAAGAGGACTCTATTCTAATAATTCATGAAATATAGGTAATTAGGATCTAAAAAAAAAAAAAGAAGAAGAAGAAAGGAAGGCTAAAAGTGCACTTAAGTTATAAACGCCAAGTTTCTTATATACAAACATCTTTTTCATGATAAGGCTACGGCCCAAGAACATAGTTAGGATGCATCTGTGTCTCTCCTCTTCAACTTGATCCAGATGCCATTATTTGGCCGAAGAATCAATTCTCCTGACAAGCCAAGTTCTTCTCTTTTCTGGGTGGATTCTACCCAAAACTGCCTCAGGATACAGGAAAGAATGGTCTTTTCTTCCATCACAGCAAACTTTTGACCTTTAAATTAATATAAATACCATCATTTTAATGATATACAACTCTAATGTGAGAAATAAGAAGCCCTGTTAGAGAAATAACCAACTTAATATTTTCACATAGGTCTTAAAAGAATCAGACTCATTTGAGATGCTTGTTAAAAAAATGAAGATTTTCAAGTACTCCTTTCTGTTCTCACCCAGTGTTATCAGTGGCAGCCCAGAGAATCTGAATTTTAGCAGTACAGAGGACCCTCTGTATCCACACATTCCACATCCACAGATGCACCCAATGGTGAATTGAAATTTTTGAAAAATAATTCCATCTCCACTGGAAGTGTATTGCTTTTCCTGTAACTATTCCCTAAACCATACAGTATCTAAACTGCTTACACAGCAGTTACATTGTATTAGGTATTCAAGTAACTGAAGTATACATGACGTTCTAAAGTATACACGATGATGTATATCAGTTATAGGAAAATACTACACCATTTTGCACAAGGCACTTGTACACTTGTGGTTTTGGTATCTGTAGGAAGTCCTGGAACTAATTCTTTAAGAAAATCTAGGGATGACTACATCCCAGATGAATCCTGAACTCATTCAAACTTAAGAATTACTACTCTGAACTGATTTTTATTGGTCCTTTAGTTTACTATAGAGACACCAAATATGCTTCAGAGTCACTCATTTAAATCCGGCCTCATTTTACTAATGTCTGCATTTATATAAATGATAAAATGCTTTAGAGATACTAAAGCCAAGAGTGTTCATAATACATAGTGATAGATACTCATTTCTGAAGTACTTCAACTAGTCACATGACAAGTATCTTTTGTTTTGGTTTTGCAAAATAAAATTCTTAAAAGCAACAAACACAAAAACAAGGTTACACATAACCAATCATGTAGTTTTTCTACTGGGATGAATTATATTTAACTTTAATCCCACATCTATAACATTTTAAGACCCTACCTTGAGTGAGACGTTTATGTTTTATGTTATGTGCTAAATTGTGCTCTCCTTTAGAAGTCCWAATCCCAGTATTTCAGACGGTGACTGTATTTGGAAATAGGTTCTTGTAAAGAGATAATTAATGTTAAGTGTGAACCTTAATCAGGTTAATTTAAAGTTAAAATGTGGTCATTAGAGTGGGCTGTATTACAATCTGACTTCAGAAGGATGAGAACATTGGCCCACAAAACCCAAAAACCCATGGAGACATAGGGAGAAAGCCACCATCTACAAGCCAGAGAGAGGCCTGGGAAGAAACCAACCTCACTGACACCTTAGCCTCCAGAACTGTGGGAAAACATATACCCATTGCTTAAGCCAACCTGCGCTAATTTGTTATGGCATCCCTAGAAAACAAATATACTTTATGATAGCATATTTGTTATATGCTTTGCAAATATGCTTTTGGAATACTTGAAAGCTATAATGTAAAATGGAGGAAAAAAATAAACCAGTTTTTGTTTTGTTTTGTTTTGTTTTGTTTTGCTTTGCATATGGGTAATGGCTCATCACAATTCAAAGTAATCCTGGTGAGAAACCTGCTTATCATGTGGGCCTGAAAAGTCACACCCAATTGTATGGCTACAAACCTATGCAGTTTCTGGGTCCAGCAGAGAAGGGGACATAGGAGTATGGATGGCGTCCTTGTGCATTCTCAGGAAAGAACCGTTCTGGCTGGAATTCCTCAGGATCTGGGAAGTATTTGGGGTCTCTGTGCAATGCGTAGGGGATGATGACCGCCTCGGTGCCTTTGGAAATCTTGTAACCGGCTGTCAAGAAGTAAGCAACCCATCATGACACTGGAGCAAGACAGACGTGAGATATGAAACCCGCTCTCCCTACCGGTTCAGTTCTAGGACACTTACCCACTTCACAATCTTCATTAAGTCTCCGGGCAAACAAAGGGACGGAGGGGAAAAGGCGAAGAGTCTCCTTAATAACACATTCCAGATACTTAAGTCTCTTCAGGTCTTCCAAGGTAGCAGGATGATCAGACTTCCCTGATCGAAGTAAGTGTATAAAACGCCAATGAAAGAACTGTCTGGGCTTGGGGCAGAGGTGAGAGCATCGTAGAACACATGAATCAAACACCAAAGGTTAAATACCCTGAAGTAGAATTTCTAATATTATACAAAATCAAAATACAATCAGATGACATGCTAAGTCAAAGAAACCAGACACTAAAGGTCACTTACTGCATAGTTCCGTTTACAGAGTCACAGTGAATTAGTGGTTGTCAGGGGCTGAGGGTCAGGGGAATGAGGAGGGTCTGCTTAAATGGTATAGGGTTTYGTTTTGGGGTGCTAAAATATTTTAGAATTAGAGGTGACAGTCACAAAGCATTGTGAATATATTAAATGCCACTAAATTTTACATTTTAAAATTATTCATTCTATGTTATGTAACATTGCCTTTCTTAAAAATATGAGAAATGGAGTTGGTACTTGCAGCACAGTAACCAAAGATTATTTGCTCAAAAATATTACAATATTTTAGAAGGAAGTCATAATATGCAGAACACATGACAAACAGCAGAACATTCTAGTGACAACAATTGTTATTGTTATATGAGATTAAAAAGCATTTGCAAAACTAGCAACGAGCTAGAAATTGTGGAGGATATAAACACTGAAACTCCTTCAAAAGAACTTGTGAGCTTTAAGAAGATCATATTTTCTCCCCTGAGGCACTCTAAAATTAAGTCAGTGTGGAAAAAAATGACTGCAGAAACGCAGCTAAAAAAGTTTAGATTGTCTCCATTCTACAAGATGAAGCCATCCCTTGATGGCTTTGTACATTCCAGTCTTTGTACAATCTGAACACAAACCTTGTTTCCCAACCTCATCTCTCAATTCTCCATTATACCAATATCCTGAAACTCTAGTTGTCCATCATTATTGGCTATGGTCCTCCAAGCCACAGTCCTTTCCACTTCTGTGCTACTGTTCATCTAGTTCCTCCCTTTCTAGAATGCTCTTCTTTTCCAACCTTCCCTCTTTATTTTTTCATCCTCAATTCTGTTCTATAGAAAAATGTGTCAGACCATGTGGTTGGTTGGCTAATCCAACTTTTTTCCTTTTCACCTTCTAGCTATGGAGAACCATGTGATACATGATTTAAATAAGAATGATGGTAGCCCCTTGCAGCAGACCAACAATGGCTCCCCAAAATATTAGGTAGGTCCTGATCACTGAAACCAATAAATGTTACCATATTTGAAAAAATGGGTCTTTGCAGATATGATTAAATCTAGGATCTTAAAATGCAAAGGTTGTCTTGGATTATCCAGGAGGGCCCTGAATGCCATCACAAATTTTCTTAAAAGATACACACATACACTGAGAGAGAGAGAGAGAGAGAGAGAGAGAGAGAGAGAGAGAGAGAGAGATGGAGGGGCTATGTGAAGACAGAGGAAGAGGTTCGAGTGATGAGCCCATAAGTCAAGGAATGCTGGCAGATGCCACAAGTTTAAGAGTCAAGAAATTGATTTTTCCAAAAGGAGTTCAGTTCTACCAACTCAGTGATAATAAGCTCAGTGATACTAATTTTGAACTTCTGGTGTCCAGAGCTATGAGAGAATAAATTTCTGTTGTGTTGTGCCTTCCAGTTTGTGGATTTTTTTTTAACAGTAGCAGCAGGAAATAAATACATCCTTCATCCCCACCTCCCCTTTCTTCTTGCTCTGAAGATGGTAATGGTGCCTAGAAAAACAATCAGGAGACAAAAGCCAAGATGGTAAGGATAAAAAAGAGAAAAGAGGAAGTCTGAGAACCTGGAACATCTCTCTTGGCATCATCCTGGGACTCTATCTCCAGATTGCTTGCTGTATAACAGAAATTTACCTCCTCTCAGCTTCACCCAGCTCTTCTCTCATCTGTCATCAGATACAGTCCTAGGCAACAGCTTTCTTCTACCTTTATAACAACTTCACCTGCTCCTCTGTGCTTCCAAACATCACCTCTGCCCATTGCTCAAGGGCACAGCCCCTGGCTCAAAGCTCTGTGTACATGTGTCTGACATATTAAGCAGTTAGACCCAGGAGGACAATCACTCAATCTATGCATCCTCAGACTTAAGCCCAGTATAGTCACCTGCTAAGAGGTTGACAAATGCCTACAAGGGAATGGATGAAGCTTGCCAAGAAGGAAGATTCTGAAATGATCCTATACAGGAGCCTTCCTGCTTATGCCAATGTCCTTAGAGTAGGCACATCCCTTAATGAGCAAGAATGACATTTGCTTCAGTGGACTTAGGACCCACCATAGAACTAGTGAAGGGGCCAAACATACCAAACACTTCATCCAGTTCCTTGTCCACTTTTTTCTGGACTTCTGGATAACAACCCAATAGGTACAAGGACAAGTTTATTGCAGCTGCAGTTGTATCATGGCCCTATAAATGTAAATAAATAAAAAAAGGCTAAGAAAGCAGAGTTATGTTGAGAAGATCAGGAGTGTCTATACTAGCTCTTTTGAATTGTCTCTACATTTGAAAGCTGTCATGCCACTATGGAATATAAATTGTTTCTGTACAATATCTCACCTCACTGAGAAACAAATAAAACCATACCTTAAAAGTAGAGGTTCAAGCTTAGAGATGGCACATTTATGCCTCAAGGTGTTGCATACTTTGTGGGAAGTGGCTGTCCTGTGCTATTAAGGGGACCAGATGGAGCCATTCGAGAAAGCTCGTCCTTTTAAAGGGGAAAAGAAGTTTGACCTCACTGAGCCAACTTACCAGATCTGTACTTCTTTACCTTCCCCCATTGTGAGGGTGTCTTTACCTTCCAGTAGTACCAGTGGGTATGTGTGTGGTTCTGGGTAAAAGTCTCCACCTCAAGGAGGTGACAGATAGCCTCATTTAATGCTAGCTGGGATCTAGGCAAAATATTAATACTTTGCAGAAACTAATTAATCTTCACAAAAACTTCAGGAGATACTTATTACTACTATTCAGATTTTAGAGATTAAAAAYTGACCAAAAAAAAAAAAAGTCAAATAATTTCTCCAGGTCCAGATAGCTTGGTAGAAGGTAGAAGTAGGAACTGATCCCMACTCCCAGAATGCCTGATGACAAAGGAGAGGCCACATTATCCTCCTCTACAAGTGCTAAATGGCCTGGAGTGGCTTGTGATCAGGAGAAGTCACCATCATAGATAGCCTCATTTTCTGTCCACTCAGTGTTTTAGGCATGCGGCTCTGATCCTTATCTCACTCGGACATTTTTATGTGCAAAATCAGTAAGCTCATCAAAAAATGTACTAAAAAATCAGAAACRGTAATATAACTCTAGGAGCAAAACTTTTAGGACAAAAAGAGAAATGTTCCTTCATGTATGATCTTACTTTTTCATTTTTCCTATAATACACAGTGCTCATTGTATTGTTTCCTTCTCTGGGCAAAAATAAATAAATAAATAAATAAACCCTCGAATACTTGTTTTATAAAACAGCTCCCACATTTAATTGTTTGAGGCTTATTCTGCAAGTCTTAAAATATACAGTCTACAAGTTTCTGACATTAATGCCTAATTGCATTTTCTTAAACTTATAGTTCCTTTACAGAACCTACCCTGAACCACAGAGATCATTTCATTCAGTTGGCTACTGAGTCACATAGAGAAGTAGTCTTGCTAAATAGTTTTTAATAGCTTTTCTGGGATTTGTGAGTAGAAACCTGGTCTGAATGTGTAGGAGAAGTCTGCTGAGATTCCTAGTGCAGGATGAGGCAAGAGTTTATTGAAGCACATTAGTGAAAGAGGGGAGGGGCTGGCACCTTAATAACTAATAGTTAGAACCTGGGGCATAAAAGGCATGGTGTTTATTATCTGCATTCCCCTCATGGAGGGAGTCACAATATTCCACATGGTGTGCCTCTGACTCAAAGCAAAGAAAAAAAGAATAAGAATTTTGAAGAATGTTTGAGCTAAAAGAGATCATTAGGCTGGTTATTTTCATTTGTGTACGTGTGTGTGAATGAGTGGCTGTGTGCATGGATGTGTGTGTGTGTGTGTCTGTGTGTGTGCGTGCRCACATGTGCACATGGGCAGGATGGAGATGTAAGGTGCCTCCACTTCAACATCAGATAATAACAGCCAGTATCTGCTGCATGCTTCCTATGTGCCAAGCATGGCTCCTTGGAACACGTTCAAAAATCTAATCATCATAACTCTTCCATGGGGCCAAGGCACAGAAGGGCTAGGCCAGGTGACAAGGCCACACTAATACAAGTAAAAACTGGGATATGGCCCCAGAGTCCACACACCTAATCTCTTTCTCTGTCTCTCCTTTTCAGTTAATTTAGATGTCCACCTTCTGCTTTAGATTTCTTTTCAATAAAGTGCACTCTTTTTAAAAAAAAATATTTATTTTTTAGTTTTAGGTGAACACAATGTCTTTATTTTACATTTATGTGGTTCTGAAGATTGAACCTAATACCTCATGCATGCTAGGTGAGCACTCTACCACTGAGCCACAACCCTAGCCCTAAAGTGCACTCTTAAAAAAAAAAAGTTTAAAACCACTGATTCAGGTCATCTCTCTTTAGCACATACAGAAATTGTGATTGAGATCAGGAAGCATTGAAACCATTTCACTTGCTAATCAGCGTAGTGGTAGAACTAGAACTCAATTCTCTGATCCTGAACATCACTTTCTTCTATTGTGTTGCAGAACTTTACAAAAAGATTGCACGACACCATCCTATTTGTCTATTTTTGCTTTTCTTATTGTAGGGAATCATCTCCAAAGAAATTACTAGCTTTCCTACTGTTTTTTTCTTCTAGTAATTTTAATTTCACATACTACATTTACATCCTTTATCATTTTGAGTTAATTCTTATATAAGGGGTGACATAAGGGTCCATTTTAACTCTTCTGAATGTGGATCTCTAGTTTTCCCATCACCATTTATTGAAACTCTCCCCACTGTGAATTCTTGGCACTTGGTCAAAAATCAGTTGGTTATAAATACATGGATTTATTTCTGGGTTCTCCATTCTATTCCATTGGTCTTAATGTCTGTTTTTATGCCAGTATCATGCTGTATTGATATCGTGGTATATTTTGAAATCAGGGTATGATGTTTCCAGCTTTGTTCTTTTTGCTCAAGATCCCTTTAGTATATTAGGGTCTTTTGGGATTCCATGAGAATTTTAGAGCTTAGTATTTTATTTATTTGGAAAATGTCACTGGCATGTTTACAGGAATCACATTGAATCTATAGGCTGTACAACTGAAGTGTCCATCAACTAGAATACTCTTCAGTTTTTAGAAAATTCTGCCATTTGTGGCAATATGGGTAAATCTAGAAAATATTAGGCTAAGTTAAATGGGCCAGGACAGAATGACAAATATTGCATGATCTCGTTAATATCTGGGACCTCAACCAGTTGAACTCATGGAGATAAAGACTAGAAGGGTGGTGGCTCAAGGCTGCCTGGGAAGTGAAAGGGGAAAGGAGAGATTTTGGTCAAAGGATATAAAGTCTSAGCTAGTCAGGAGGAACAGCTTCTGGTGATCTGTTGTACAGCTTGGTGACCACAGTTAATAACAATGGATTGTATAGTTCAAAATTGCCAAAAGAGTGAATTTTAATTGCTCTAACCACAAAGGAATGATAAKAAAGTGAGGTAATGGATCCTTTAACCTGGTTTGATCATGCCACAATGTAAACATGTATCCAAACATCACCACATTGTACCCAATAAATATACACAATTATTATTTGTCAATTAAAAATAAAATTAAATTTTTAAAAAGAATGCACAAGCCAAGTGCATTGGTGAGTGTCTGTAATCCCAGCGGCTCAGGAGGCTGAGGCAGGAGGATGACAAGTTCAAAGCCAGCCTCAGCAATGGCAAGGTGCTTTCTCCAAATAAAATACAAAAAGGGGCTGGGGATGTGGCTCAGTGGTTGAGTGCCCCTGAATTCAAACCCTGGTACCCTGCCCCTACTTCAATGAATAGAATGCACAAGCATTGGCATTATATTCAGATGGCTGTAGCAGAGCAGCCAGTACAATGCTTAGCTGTGAGTCACCAAAACCTTGGATGCATTCTACTGTCCTCCCTTTGAAGAGTGTTATCATTTTTAAAATAAATTTTGCTTATCTTTATTGCAATGTACATATAGAGAGTTTTACTCTTTGTAAATTTAATATAATATTTTAAACTATTTTGTAAAAAGTACTGTTTAAAAATATATGAAGAACAGAAACCCCTTTAGCATTGCAAATTGGTGCAGATCTCCAAGGAAGGACTCTTTCTACTCTCTGGTTAAGTAGCCATTGTGGTAGCTAAGTGCTCATTTGTTAGAACTTTAAAAGGAGGTACTGAGGAAGTGAACTTGTGGATTTGGAAGCATGAAGTAATATAGAGAACTGARAACTAAATTTCTGGTGGCTCTTCTTCTTGGGAAAGTCTGACAGACCTTAGGTTTTCTTAAGAAAAGAATGTCTCTACTGTGGTACCTACCATGACATTAAAAACTTGTTCTGAGCAAGGAAGTTGGCCTGGTACTCAATCAGGTTCTTCAATTCTGTCATTTCTGATGATAATATAATCTTTTTTTGGTTATATAGAATTATTTTAACATTGATTCCTTTCTTAAAAATTATTCTAAAGACTCTGAAAAATAACTGGAATTTATTTGTTTTTTGTTTTTGTCTTACGAGGGACGGAACCTAGGGCCTAGCGCAGGTTTAGGCCAAGTGCTCTGCCCCTGAACTATACCCTGAGCTCTGGAATGTTAATGATACCTGAAAATAACCTGAGGATATAAAGTACCTCGAACATGAAGGTGTCAACTTCTTCTCGAATATCTTCCTGACTTAGCTTGTTCCCTTCGTCATCAGTCACACTTAAAAGCAAGTCAAGAAAAGCCTTGCGTTTATTTTTGGAGGGAACAGCATCTCTACATTCTCCAACTTCCTTCATTTTCTTGGTCCGTTCAGCAATGACCTATGTAATTTAAACATCAATCACAGGCTTTAGTTTAGACTTTGATAAGGTCTCATGACACATTTTTTCTATGAAAAGATGCTAGCCTCTCTAAATTAATTTTTAAAAACCTTTCCTGTTTTTTTCCCCATTTCTATGAAAACTTAGGCCTTCATTAAAATACATTAAAGCCCCTTGCTAACATTTGGGCATTGTTGAGTAAAACTATTAAGAACAAATTTAATGTCAGACAAATTCATAATTTTCAAGTGCTGTTTTTATAATCTGTCTATCATGGGAATAATCATATTCTACTAAATAGTACCYGAGAACTTGAATAAGCTAATGAGAAAAAGTTTAAGTAGCAGAGAACACGCAATCATTATATTATAGATCACCCTCAATTACATATGTTGGGAGAAAAGTAACAGCGGGCTGATTAGGCAATTCACCCTGCAAGTTCGCTACTACTTATGCCTAGAATGTTCTTTCTTTGTATGCCCATGGCTAGCTCTTTCTCTTCTCTCCAGTCTCTGCTCACTGTCATATCAGAGAGATATTTCCCCTTCACTGCTACCCCATTCCTACCGCTCTGTTTTCCTAACCTTTTTTAAATTTTTCTCCAATTCACTTACCACCTAACATCATAACATACTAACTGTTCAGATTCCTTCTCCTCCAACTTAAACACCACTGTTCATGGGGTATCGAATTTGTCTTTGTTCATTGGTAGATTTCCAAACTCTAGAACAATTGCTGGCATTTGAAGAATGTTCATTAGAATGTTTGTTGAATGAATAAAAGAATTAAAATTCACACACTGACTTTCATTACACATTTGAACTTTCCTTCCCAATCAGGCAATTGAACAAACCTGCTCCTAAATGGCTTGAATGAGTACATTCTAAGTTTCTTAAGGGCAAAATATCACAAAATATTTATTGTGAAACTCATAGCCTAGATCTCAGTATGCAATTATATATATATATATATATATATATATATATATATATATATATGATATTGTCCATCCAGTCTAGAATTCATGAATTATTGATATTGGTATTAATGAATGAAATTTAAAGAAAAGTATAATTATAAAATATAACCTATTTACTATTATACTATACTGTGGCCAACTGAGAGCAACAGCAACAATCATTTAACATCCATCTATTGATTTATTATTAATAATTTGATCAATTGGTGGCAGGGCTTTCCTCAGTTACATAAGGAAGCAAATCTAATATAATTTAACCAAAATTTACTGCAAAGGAAGAAAATATTAAAATTAGTACTTTGTTCAGTATATTCAAATTTGAACATATATTTTCAAATAAATCTTGATTTTCAAAGACTGATATCCTACATTCAAAACAAAATCCCTTTCTTCTGCCTTTTTTTTAATTGAAAATAAAATAGTAGAAAATGGTTAATTTTATTTTTTTCACAAAATTAAAGTATGCGATGCTTTGAATGCCCTTTATCTTTGAAAACTACCACCAAACATTTCCAAGAAGACTCTTGTATAAAGATCTTTGCCTCTTTATGTTTTTACAAAATATTCTGTTTGTTATTGTCCATATTCATGTTTTGTAATTATTTGTTATATTGTTTTCTACCCTACTGGATAATCTATGTTATGGTAGAGGACATACATGTCTTATTCATCAGTCTGTTTCCCACCTTTGGAATAGTGTTTGAAACTTAGTAAGTACTAATTAGTATTAGTATTCACATAATTTAAACTTAATTTAACTAGAATTATATTTATATAATTTAAATGTAATCATACTGACCACTTCTTTCCATTATTGTTCAATTTGACTTTTATTTTATGAGACTTAGGTTCCATGGTCCTACATCTATCTTTTGTTACACTAACAAAAGATAAAAATCATGGTCTTAAAAAGTTCTGGAAATGGATAATGGTGATGGCTGAGTGACACTGTGGATGCCCTTAATTGCCACCGAATTACACACTTATAAGGGTTATAATGGTGAATTTTATGTTATGTGTATTTTACCACAATAAAACAAATGACTTACATTGTTGGTAAAGGTGTGTAGGATCTTAAGGCCCCTTTTGTGTTCCCATCCTTCTCTAAACAAAAAGTACCAAAGATCAAGCCAAAGCCACGGCATCTTCATTCTCCGATGTACCATATCACTCATCCTATAAATAGGATGAAAACATATCTCTTATACCAGAAATGTCTGTTTCTTGAGCACCAACTTGGTGCCTGATTTTGGTAAAGGTAGTACCTGGGAGTGATGCTGATTAATCATTGATGCTCATTAGTCATGTTTAGCGCCATGCTAAACAATGAAGGAATGGGGCTATTACACATATGATGAGGCTTTAAAAAAATTAGATTTAAAGAGGAATGAAGAACCCACTACAAAACACCCTTGTGGATAGTCTGTGGTCTCCGCTTTTGTTTCTCCAGGGTAAGTTCTCAACTTGCCAAGGCCAGCGGGGGCTTTGGTACTAAAGGTTGAGATGAAATCTGCTTCTATTTAAGGTCCACCTATTCATTTAATCAGTCCTCCTGACAAAAAAAAAAAAAAAAGAAAGATAAGAAAGAAAGAAAAAGAAAATGACTGCCTCTTCTATAAGAAAGTGCTCATTAAATAACTGTCACATGGTGGTCCCAAGCAGCTCTCTCCTTTCCAGGGATAAAGCACAAGAAGCCCCCTCCATGCTCTGTCCTTCAGGATGGGCTTAGATACCATTCCTTCAGAGAGGCCTTCCAAGGCCAATSTGTAGGACACATTGATTTTTCCTTTCAAATATCAGCTTGATCTTTTCTTCCTAAGCAATAGTATAGTCTGTTAGTTTATAGTGGTTCAATGTCTGTCTCTGATGCTATGCTGTTCTGTGTACCCTTATAAAACCAGTTAGARCTTTGTGCATTGACTGGCAGACTTTAGATGTTCAGTAGATATTTGGTAGAATGAAGGGAAATGAGCAGTTGACTTCAAGACAGGATACACCAAATCGTTTCTGATTCTGCCTCTTAGTAACTGAAATATTGCAAGCAATTTTAAAGTAAAACAGTTGGTTACAATTATAAAAGCAGTTACTACTCAGGAAAGAAAATAGGGGAAAGGAAAATAACACCAAAACCCAAATGCAATAGACTGAGAAGCCCATACACAGAATAAGGGTAACCATGGCTGGCACATTGGTATAGGTTCTTCTCATTTTTTTTTTTCTTATAATTATCTTGTGGTCGTGGTTGTCATAGTACACAAATTGTTTAGATCTGTCTTTTATCACTTAGCATCATAGTGTAACTATTGTAATGTAAATTATAATGTATACCACAATACCAGTATATTAGGAAGCAGTCATTTAAAATTATTGCATAATCTAGATATTCCAAAGTTTACATAACATTCCTTTAAGCTAAAATACATGCTTAAATTTTAGCTTAACATCTCATTGTAAAACAACAAAAAGATGCAAGACAGAAATCACTAGCAATAATTTTGAGTCCCAAATCAATAATAATTTAAAAGATAATTGAAAGAATTGCATTTACCTATAGACTGCACGGACATACTCAGAATCCTCATTGCTTTGAGCACCGATATTCTTCCCCATAGCTGTTTCTATAAAATATGGATGAGAAGCAAACATTCAGCTCATATATACATCTTGTGTTTATTTTGCAATGGCAGACACTAAAAAGAACAAAAATCCTGTTCGTCTACATTTCAATATCGATCTTCTTTGCTTGCTCTTCCTGTATCATTGCTTCTTCTACTTTCTACTTTTGGCCTTCCTGGCAATTTRCTCTGTGACTGCTGTGCCCACTGCCATAGGAGTGATTGTTCTCTGTTAGGCAGCTGATTTATCAGTAGCACTACCCTGAAGAATCCCTGTCCTTTCCAATCCCCTCATTTATCTTCCCAAAAGAGTGTTATTTTCTATTTGATCAGTTTCATCTTTACATTATAACTTTAAATACAAATCAATCAGACTTACCACAGATTATATCTAAGGCACAGAGAGTGATGTAAAAAAAGCAGTTAAATGCTTCTTGGTTAACGTGTTTTTCAAGTTTATTAACCAATATATTTGCTTGCTCATTCATGATATCTAAGAATTCATCCAGAATTGTGAAATGGAAGGTGGGTGTTAACATTTTTCTCCTGGAGCGCCATTTGTTTCCAGTACTAGAAATACAATACATGATTAACAAATAAGAGAGGAGTAATATCCAAAACCAATAGAGCATGAATATAACCAAGTCAACAAAATTCTGAAACAGCTTCATCTACAGATTCTCAAATGCTTTGGTCAGAATGATAAAGACAAACACATATAATAATCACGTAGTTACAAAATATAGATATGTTGGTCATTGTCCTATTATACTAATAGTTAAATTATTATTCATAAAATAGAAAAATTTAATAATTTTCCTCCATTTTTAAGTTCTGAGATTCTAAGATTAAGAATTTTTTTCTTCCTCCTTCAATATCTTAGTTTTCTATTGTTCACATGCTCCATGGCTGTACCTTGATTTCTACTGTGTTTGAATTCTCTTGCTAGGCCAGCCCGCAGAGGATGGAGTCAGAAATAAGACTCTGGATGCCACATCAATTTCAAGGTCACTGTGCTCAAGGTACTTTTCTGGGGCTGCTTGCCTTTTCCACTGGCTTTTCAAGATTTCCCTATTCCAGACACTCCTCTTTGTGCTCCACTATAATATTAGGAACTCCTAATAATTCTTCTACTGGTGATACCCACCATGGAATACCATGACTGAGATCACCATACACCATAAACTTGTGCCAGTTAAGGGCCCACTGTTAGCTGGGTCTTTCCTTCCAGATTCTCTCCCTTTCTGAGAACAGTCTTGCTACAGAAAAACAAACAAAACAAAAACAAAAATAAAAAAAAACAAAATATAACTAAATTACTTTAGAAATTTAGTCAATTACTAAAATAACAACTTATACATAGAAGTAACTGTTTCTACCACACAACTTTACAAATTTATACTGACTTACCTTGTAAGAAGTCCAAGGCCAAGCCATGGCTCTAGGAACTTGTACACATAGGATTTGTCAATTTGCTTTGAACATGTTAAAATTACCTTAGGAAGAGAAAAAAATATTTGAGAGATATATTGGCATCAAAATAACTGCAATTATAGAAATATCCGGCTTGAACACAACTACTTTTTAAGGCAATATTAATAATCTTTATCTTTTCTTATCTTCATTTTCATTTCTGTGCCTCTAAGAAATCTGTTAGAGTTTTGAACATGTAACTATCATTCAGACTTAATAATAGTTCTTAAAAACTCTAGCCTTCTGTACACTTTCCAAAAAAAGAAGATCAAATATATTGAGACCTGATAACAAATATGCACAGATACATTGCTCTTTATACTCAGTTAAATGAAATTTAAGGATACCTTTATTACATTTATTCTGATGGTATTTCCACACTATCAAATATGCAGAGAAATGTCTGTTTCATTTACCACACACCCACCTCCACATTTTCTGCATTATAAATGGCCACCATTGGCACTGGGCCTATCCACAACTTCAGTAGTGGCAGGTGACGGTATTCTTCAGTGTACTGAGCTAACTGCTGAAAAAATTCTGAGAGAAAAATATTTGATTTTAAATTCAATCAAGACAAGAATTTTCATAGTATTGTACAAATGTTGGTAATTTTGATAAATGCACTAGTTATGTAATTTGATACCATTAAAGGAAGCTGAAAAGAGGGCAGACATGAATGTTCTTTACTATTTTCACAACTTTCTGAAGGTCTAAAATTATCTTGAAACAATATTTGCCACTGCAAATAATATAATGATGTTAGCTCTTATAGGATAATTATTAGTGATGTGCCAAAATGTGCACTTTCTAAAAATCACTGCTCAGGGTCACAGAGCTAGTAACTGGTGGAACCTGGCTTTGTACCATGACTTCAGAACTTGAGATCTTAACCATTATACCACACTGCTTTGAAATGCCTCGTGGATAATATAGTTGTTAAAGTTGCTGTGAAAAGGGCTGGGTCAAATCACCAGTGTCAAAACATCCTGCTTCATGCTATTATACTGCCTGTCTTCATCTGATCTGACAGAAGGGTCAGGGAAGTTTGAGGCTTGAAGTTTGTGGCTTAAAGGTGTCAAGTTCAACAGCCAGGTGCAGCTCCACACACCCACCTCCAGGCATTGACATAAGGGATTGGGAAAGCATGAAATGAGAGTTTAGAGATCAACTAGAAGACATTCGTTCTTCAAGGTGAGGTTACTGAGATCAGAATTCCCACATTAGCTACAGAATGAAAGGCRTAACCTCTTGTATAAGAGACAGTGTTCTTTTGAACAGAGACTATATCTTAGAATATTCTCACATCCCCCACTTTGCTGATCTCGATACTGGGTGTAGAGCAGGGCCTCAGTAAATGTTTAGTAAGTAAATAATTTGCTCTAAACAAGTTCTAGGTGGTGACCTAGAAATTTTAATCCTTAAAACAACTTTCAAATGCAGTTACTTTTACAGGTAAAATTAAATAAATAGATAAATAAATAAACACAACTCCTCTATTAGAAAGTTTTAAACAACTTCTTAAAGTAACTTGGTTACAAAGTTGGAAATTGAGCAACAGTTTTCTTGATGCCAAAAATCTAACACTTGATGATATAAAAAGTCCCTTTTGTGAATCGMAGTATATTGTTAGTCTCTTCACCCAGAAAGTCACTCCAAGGACAATTACTTCAAATAGTATATAATCAGTTCATGTTTTATTTTAAAACTATTCTTATTCCTTTAATTGTTAGAATCCTCCCCCAAATATGATGAGACCTCTTAAATGTATCACTTTCCCATGTAAAGTTGGAAAGGATAGTCTAGGTTTGGGTCATAAGCCCCAAAGACATAATACTGAGAGAAAAATATTTGATTTTAAATTCAATCAAGACAAGAATTCCATAATGCCAAAAACTGAAATCCCCAAAGATCAAAATGCCTGAAATCTGAAATCCCTGGTGTCTAAAATCCTAAAAATATAATTCAGGAAAAAACATGTTATAAATTATTTTTAAAACATTTATTTACATTTTAAAGGGGGATTTTTATTTTAGAAATATATAACAGGACAGAATTATTCATAGGTCACTTTTCACAATAAAATAAGCAAAAAAAAACAGTTTCATAATCAGAAACATGAAAATATATTAACATTACTCACATGGATATATTAACAATTATAAGCAAATGAATTGTAATCATAAAGAAATAGGYCAAAAAATGAAACCCATAAACACATATCACTATGATTTATAACTGTGTACACTCAGTTTTATAACTTTTTTATCTACAGTTTTGTTTTTGTGTTGTGTATGCTGGGGATCTAAGCCAGGCCCAYGCAAGGCAAGCTCTCTAACTCTGATACATCTCCAGCCMCAAGTGCTGATATCTAAAATACCAAGGTAGACCACCTAAGTTTTGTGATGAGAGGGATCAAAAATCACAATGATGATGGGTCACCACATACATATACAGTGACCAAAGAGTTGAGAGCTTGAGAAATTTTTTCTTTTACCAATGTAGATGTATAAAAAAGACATCTCTCATTTATTGAGAATGCTTCAGTGATACACGATGCTTACACACAATGACAATATTGTACTAAGTCACTGTCAAATGTGCAATAAAAATGCATAACATGATATAGAACTGTGAGAGTCTGTGCATTTTATACCTCCAGTATTAGAAATGACGTGAAGGTGGAATACATAGCATACACAGCAAATTAGCGTGTGTGGAGGGGGTGGGGGCAGTGTGGGTGGAGAAATAGATGCTGCCCTATGTCATGGAGTCCAAAGGCTGGGGAGCCTGGAGTTCTGACATCCAAGGCAGAAGAAGAAAATTTGGTCCTAGCTCTCAGAGGGATACACAGTTTGCCTTCCATATTTGTTCTCTCTGAGGTCATGATGGATTGGATGGTGCCTGACCCCGTTGAGTGAATCTTCCCCATCTAGTCCCCTCAGACTTAACTTCAATCTTCTCTGACTACATCCCCGTAAACATACACACACACACACACACACTAATGCTTCACCAGATATTCAGGCATGCATTTGACTAACATGATGCTACTATCCTGTGTACAACCTTTTCTGGGATTTGACTTCCTACCCCTCTTAAGTAGACCATTTTTCAATGAGAATTTTGGTTTTTAGTTTTGACTTTCAGAATTTCAACATTTGGGATTTTACTATTTCTAGATTGTGATTTGGGGAATTTTAGGCTTTAGGGGATTTTAATCTTTTGAGATTTCAATATTTAGATTGTGACTTGGCAATTATGGTTGGCATCTGGGGCATCTGTATTTCTATGCAATTATATAAAATACTGTAACGTCTCAGAATAGAGGGGGAAGTTGGCTCTGCCTTTAGTATTAATCCAGATGATTTCTATCAATGTGATTTTCATATATCTAAACGTGTTGTTGAATTACTTGTAATATTACTCACTTTGATATTTGGTTAGTATAGTTTTTTTTTTTATTTCTTCTGCCAGAAAATATTTTGGAAAGCACTCTCCCATAAGGCCTTATCTTATCTSTGTTAAGTTGAAATGACATCATTATTTTTATTTGAGGAATCACAAGTGAAAATTAAGTAATCCTTCAAGCTTTGAAGTCAGTGCTCAGCCTGTAAAACAATTAATAATTAATCTGAAGAAGTGCTGGATTCTGGATGGGATCCATTTAAAATTACATCATTTTGGATCAATCTTTTCAGCTCTGGGTATCCTCAATTGTATACCCATGAGTCTCTATGGGAGATTGCAAATATCAGGTACTTTTGAGAGCTTTCTAACTTAAAGTGATTTCTTTTCCTATTAACAAAACATAAAGTTTCATTTTTAAAAGGATGATTTCAATTAAAAAATTCGCTCTTTAATAAATACAGCTTGCCTTATAAATATGCCTGAAGGCCCCACCAGCAGAGCTTATTAACTGCTATTATGAAATCTTATTAAATGTGAAGGTCAAGAAGGAACGAAAGTATGTAGTGGTCAAGTCATRTGACGTCTGGGCGAGAGTAGGGGGGTAAGTCTCAAATGAAACTCCAGTCCATTGTTTTCCAAAGTGGGAGAAAAGGGAGAGTGGCTTAAGTATTTGCCATGTTCCAGGGGAGTTTCCACCCTTAAAGCTTTAACAAGCCAAGACAGAAGAAAATATAGGGTTTTGAGATCTGAGTAGCTGATGTGGGGAGAAGAGAAGAGAAAAGCAGAAGGACATGAGTTTGGAAATAGTGCGTTCTGGGCTATATGCAAAAGGTTCATTATGGGATGGGAGCGGGGGCATAAACAATTTTGGCAGGTGTCAAAGTCTGGATAGAATTGGGAATTCATTCTCCAGAGGGTGATTCTTCTTTCTCCTACCTGCCAGCGCCACAGGTAGAAGGCTGGGTTGAGCAGATGCGCGGTCCGGGCATCTGGATCCAGCTGGGGTTCCTGCTAGGCAGGGCTTCAGGTGGAGGAAGGTGCGGGTCTCCAGGGAGCCATCCTTTACTTACCTTTCCCGTCCGGCTTCATCAACAGCGCGTGTCCCACCARGGGGTAGGCGCGGGCGATGGTCGGGATGGGCCTCATCTGCTGCCATTTCCTCGCGTAGCTCGCCACCATCTGAAGGAGGTTGAGGATGAGGGTGGCGCCGGCCAGAGAGACGGCGCTGGCCGCSCCCCAGAACAGCAACTTCTGCCCGATGAGCCCCAGCCAGAGCCCGACCATCTCTGCAGCGTCCCTTTTCGCTCGGGGTTAGCGATGGGGATGGAGAGTCCGCGCGGGTGGGCCGTCGGGGCGGCCGGCGAGGTCCAGTCTAGAGTTCAAGCGCAGGGTGCGGGGAGGAGGAGGAGGAGTTCCCGGACGGTGGGATGCGGTGCTCAGCGCAGAGGGCAGAGTAGTGCCCCGCGGGCTGGCTTCCTTCTTCTACCGCCGGAGGCTGATCAGGCCCAGCCTCCCGGAAGCACAGCAGCGGCCACCCCGGCCCTGGGGACAGGGTTTCCAGCCTCCCAGGCGGAAAGAGAAAGCGCCGCAAGGGTTGTCACTGAGARCTGCAGGAACCTACGTAACGCACAGGTGCAAGCTGACTCTGGGGTGTTTTGAAGGTAGGTGAAGGCTCTTAGGGCCGAATGAGAAGAACATTTAGGACAGCCCCCTGGACGGACAGGAGATCAGAACTCACGTCGCCCCACCCAGGCGCCCCAGAGCCAACCAGCGAGGGCTGAGTTTGGGAGGATGGGACGAGGCTGCTGGGTGTAGGAGGGTTTTCCGTTCTTTCTAGCAGTCTRTTTCAAAACTGGAATAAAGATGCATCGGGGTTGAAACTCTCGTCTTGCGCAAGGCGCAGCGCTGCTGTGCTCCTGCCGGACTGGCTGCCGCGGGAGGAGGGTGCAACCCTGGCGTCTGCACGGGGTCATTCGGAGCAGCTAACTTAATTTTGATCTACAGAGCTTTAGGGACACAGCCTTAGGGGAACGGCATGTCAGTTTGTATCAGCTGATTGGAAAAGCTAAATGAGGTGGTGATCCAGATATTTGCCAAAATATCCTCCAGAGCAAGGATAAGCCAGAGCCTAAGGGAGGGGGGAAAGATAGGATGACCCTCCAAAGTTTGGGGAAGGACTCAGGGAAAGGAGCGGCTGCTATGGAGCATGCTCAAAATGGATCTAAGACCAAGCCCGAGGCAGGAAAAAGACAGTACAAGGAGATTCTAATTCTATTGAGGCTGTGACCACGGACTCCAGTTTCTCTCTCTYCTGCTTGCAGAAATGCCCTGTCCTGAAGGATGACTTTTCCTAGGCCCGGTACCAAGGGGCTAAGTAAGACAAATCCTAGTAACAAATCTCTAAGCACCAAGTGCAAAGGAAGATGAAATTGTGAGACTGTCCTGGACTCCTTTGCTTAATTATATTAGTTTTCTTATAGCTATTGTCGAGGTTATCCATAGCCTCCTAAGGGTCTCTGATATGAGAGGGAAAAGGCTTCTGTCCTGTTATCTTTTCTTTTCTTTTTTTAAAGCTCCTCTGTGTGTGCTGACATATAGAAAGTGGTTTATAAAATATTAAGGGGGAAAAAACAGAACAAAGACCAAAAAAAAAAAAAAAAAAAAAGAACAGAATATATGATGTAAGGCTTCTCTGGGAGAAAAAGTAGGGTTTTTTTTGGTCTTGTTTTGTTTTTTCTTACAGCTAGACTGATGATTAAGGAAAGCACTGATCAACTCCTTGGAGTGAAAATGGAGAAAAGGAACTTACACTTTTAGTGTATTCACTTCTACACTGTCTAATTGCTTCAAGACTTCTTTAAAAACTAAATGCATTGAACTGAGGCACAGCTCAGTGGTAGACTATTGGTTTAGCATGTGCAAGGCCCTAGATCAGATCCCTGGCACTGAAAAAAATCATTTATATTTAATGTCTTTAAATATATCTCTTGGGCTTTAGCTTCTTTCTCCATAAAAGATTGAGGTGGAGCTATAAAAGTAGAAAATATATCTATATTTGACTCACTGATCATCTCTATGGACATAACAAGGCTACACCATATAACCTCTCCCTTAGTAAAGGGAGAGTAGGGGGGGGGGCACAACAGGCAGCAGCACATAAGAACATGGGCAAAGAAAGGCTCCAAAGCAAGGAAGGGCGTGAAGAGTCTCAAGCCATCAAAGTCCCTTCTTGGTCATTCATAGTGAATAGTGGGAGATAATGTGCATAGATAGGGGGGAGCAAAMCCAGAGAGACCTGAACTGCCAGGCTTAGAACTTTCATCTTTATTTTAAAGTCAATTTGTAGAGGAGAGAAAGAGGGGTACCGGAGATTTGGGGGAGAAGGGGCAATAAAATAAGACCTTTGTCCCTTAGTCATCTTTCTGTATTTCCCTTTTTGGCAGATAAGGACTGTTCTCATCCTGCTTTGGAATAGTAAAATTTCAAACCAAACTAGACAGCCAGAAAGAAATGCATGGAAATAACCTCCTCACAGGACAGCCTTGTGACAACAGAGTACATAGTGTTGCAACTAAGAAGGCTCACCATGAACAGATTGTCAGGGAGCTAAGCTAACTGAGCAGGAAACTGTCTCCTTGTTACCTCTTGTGAAAATTCATTCCATATTAAAGGATGCCCATGCCACTTGGAAGATCTTAGGTCCAGGACTTTGACAGTCTCCCCTGCTTACAGTCAGTACCTTTGAAGGTTAAAGTCATGGGCCAGAGACATTATAAACTACAGAAAGTCTTTGTAAATGTTAATACTTTTGTTTCCTAAATTTTTTGTCACTTGGAATGATTTCTGATATGAAAAAGATATTTAATTTAGATTATAAAATAAATTCCTGGCTGGATACTTATACACATCCATCATAAAGGTAGCAGGGAACTTTGTCACCCATGTTTGAATCATAGATACCAAGATCAAATAGATCAATAGAGTGAATGATACCTAAATGTACAATTTTATGGACAGAAATCTAGCCATCACCCAAATTGTACCATAGAACATACAATCAATAATGATTTTTGTATCTAGTTTCTTAAACTCAACATTATGAGATGAATCTGTAGTACTGAGCACAATATTTTTACCTTATTTTCACAGCTATGTATTATTCCATTGTTTGAATATATCATAATTTATTAGTCATTTTACTGCCAATGAATGTTTCAGTTGTTTCCAAGTCTCTTATGTTATAAATAATTATGTATGATCACTCTCTTAGATGTTTTTGATTCACATATGTACATATTTCTATTGAATATATATATATATATATATATATATATATATATATATATATATGTCTAGGAGTAAACTTAGTGGGTATAGGGTATATGTCATATTTAGCCTTAATATTAACTGCCAATTTTCCAATGTAACAATTTACATTAGCAGTCTATGATTCATTCCAGATATTTCATATACTTGCTAACTTCTGATAGTATATTTTTTAAAAGAAGTTATTCCATTAGGTGGCATAGTGGTATGACAATGAGATTTTAACATGCATTGTCTTGACAACTTGTAATGTAGAGCATCTTTTCATGAGGTTATTGACCATTTTCAAAAGTGCCTGTTAAGTCATTTGCCCATGTTTAACAATGGAATTGTACAAAATTTTGGTGATTTGAAAGAGTTTTATATATATATATATATATATATATATATATATATATATATGCATTTGTATAATTAATTAACAATTGTTATAATATATGTCTATATAAAATATAAGGACTTTGTATTTTACAAGTCCTTTGATTACAAGACCTTTGCCAGATATATACTACAAGTATCTTTTCTATGTCATTAGATGAGTAGAATGTTTTAAAATTTTAATGAAGTACAGTTTATTAATCTTTCCATTGTAGTTAATACTTTTTATCCTGTTTAGAAAACCTTTGCCTACCACAAGGTAAAAAAGAAAATCTCTCATTGTTAATTTCTAGAAACTTTGTAATTTTACCGTTTGCAATTAGGTGCTGAGGGCCATTACCAAGTAGGTATGACTCATCATATCCTTGCCAGTGTACCCCATGTTAAATGGACTTGCCTTGGAAATTTGCTGCGACCTTGCTTGTGTGTTTGAGAAAGGTGACCCTGCTCAATCACCAGGGTGGATCCAGGATTAGGGTGTATTCCTGCAGGAAATATCTCCGTCCTTGGGTTTAGGGCGTGACAATAGGAGTTTTAGGGAAGTTGAGGTTGAAGATTATTGCTNGGGATTTGGAAAAAGCCTCGTGGAGTAGGATTTGGGGACGGGCATATTGAGATTTGTTCCTGAACGTGTGTGGAGGCTGGTGTGAGATCGGGAATAAAGAATTGCTGTTTGAACCTACAAAGCTGTGTGGTGGCTCGTGATTCTGTGCCAAGCCGAGACATTGGCATTTGGCATTTAGGTATGAGAGCCATCTGTAATATGTGTGTGTGTGTGTGTGTGTGTGTGTGTGTGCGCGCGAGCTCGCGCGCGCGTTCGCACACGTGCGCACGAGGGGCTAATGACATATCTATTTTTTTTTAAATAATGAATATCCAATTGAATTTAACATAAAAGTCAATATGAAGAGAATTGACACTTTATAATACTGAGTCTTCCAATTCATGAGTGTGATACATCACTTAATTTATTTGGCTCTTCTTTAGTTTCTTCCATAAATGTTTTGTAGCTTTCTTTGAGGAGGTCTTGTAATAGCAAATTCTTAGATGTCGACTTGGTTATGGTGCCCAGCCATTTGGTCAAAGTGTATATAGTACTTGCCTAGCATGAGTGAGGCTCTGGGTTCAATCCTCAGCATCACAAAGGAAAAAAAAAACATTAACCTCAACATAGTTTTCCTGTTTACCAACTTTCTTTCTCATATTGCCTTTGTGTGTACCTCCAAATATCTGTTCCTTGGCCATTACAATTTTTATGATCCTCAGTAGGAAGAGAGGTTTTCTTTAAAGGTCATTGTCTTAGCCCATTTTCTCTTGCTATAACCAAATACTATAGACTGGGTAATTTATAAAGAATAAAGTTTTGGCCTTGAGTTGTGGCTCAGTAGTAGAGCATTTGCCTAGTACCTGTGAGGCACTGGGTTTGGTCATCAACACCACATTAAAATCAATAAAGTATTCAATTAGATGTTTTAAAAAATAATAAAGGTTTATTTGACTCATGGTTTGGGGTATTGGGAAGTTCAAGTTTGAGGATCTACTTGATGGCAGGGACTCTGTAGAATCCTGAGGTAGCACAGGGCATCACATGGCAAGATAGGGTAAGTGTGCTAGCTCAAGACTCTTCTAAAAAAAGCCACTAATTGCACCATAGGGGCCCTGCCATCATGACCTCATCTAATCCTAATTACATCCCAAAGGTTCCAATTCCAAATACCACTAACACATGACTTTAGGGATAAGGTTTCCAATACAATCAATTTGGGGGACATACTCAAACCTTGCGATTACCGATTTTTTCCATCTGGCTAAATCTTTTGGTCAATTCTTCATTTTATATAAATTGACTTATCAACAGCATTCCAGGTCTTGTCCCTTCTTTGAAACACTTTTCTCTCCATTTAACTTTGAGGATTCCACATTATCTTGATTTYGACTTCCCTTCACCAGTCGTTCATTCTCAGTGTACTATGCTGGTTTTTCTTCATATCCTAGACCTGCAGACTTGACATGCTCAAATCTCAGAACAGTTTATTAATCTGTTCTCCTTCCCTACTTTTCTACACTCACTGTCTTATCTACACTGACAATGYATCTCATCCATTTCATACCTATGGACTGTATAGACAGTTCCTGACTTATGATGGCTGCACAGAATTTTTCAACTATATAATGATACAAAAGCAACACTGATTCCAAAGAAAACAGAATTTGAACTTTAAATCTTGAATATTTCTTGGACTTGCAATATGCTACAGAATATTCATGTGATGCTGGGAGTGGCAAGCTACTGTACCCAGCCAGTCACACAACCATGAGAGTCAATAACCCTAATGTGTAGTGCACGCATTACCAGGTTTTATTTGGATGCAAGCATTAAAAAAAAAAAGTACATGAGATGGTCGATATGTTATTATGAATGAGGCTTTGTGTTAGATGATTTTTTCCCAACTCATTGCTAATGTAACTACTGTGAGAACATTTAGGACAGGCTGGGATAAGCTATGTTGTTTGGTAGGTTAGGTATATTAAATGCATTTTTGACTTATGATATTTTGGATTTATGATAGTTTTATCAGGATGTAAGCCCATTGTAAGTTTAGGAGTACAAGCAACAATTCCCAAATTATATCTCCAGTCTACACCTCCTCTCCAAACCCCAGCTACAGATATCTGAAGATGTCAGCTACAGTGGTACTCGGTCACATTGCCTTGTTTTGTTTCTCCATAGCATTTATTGCTAGCTGACCTTATAGTATTTTTGTATATGTTTGTTTATAGCATATCTCCTTTACTAAAATCTAAATTCTTTTATAGCAAAACTTTTATTCAGTCCAATGCTGAGAACACTTTACACAAACATGGAATTAATATTTTATGAAACAATAAGTTCATGATGATTTTAAGTAGAGATGTCATCTTCTGAAACAGAAATATAGTGGARTATTTATAAATGAAGTAAACTTTCACAGATATGTATGTTTATATATTTTGAATTCACTGGGCAAGGCTTGTTATRTAGTTAGAAATGATTGAATGAATGCCTGTGTATTAGAAATTGCAAAGTAGATAGGTGTATAAATTATATAAAAATTGAGAGTGTAAAGGTGCTTTTACAAATGCAATGAATTTTTAAAAACTTTCAACACTTTGATATTTTATTAAAAGTTAAGGAATTAAAAATCCTGCACAATGATYTATAGTCATAAGAAAACAATGAAAATRAAAAATATACTGAAATGATTTATATATAGAAATGTTCATCTCAATATGGTATAGAAATTCCACTCTAGGTCAGAACAATATATATGAATACTTCCTTTTATATTAAATTTATAAAATCTAACAGTTTTCTGTGATATTTTAGACTTTCCTAGATTATTTTAAATTTTCTCCATTCCTTCTTTGGTTTTGGGTGATCTCAGAAATAATTAAATTTGCCTCTTTTCAATTTTTTAGCAGAAAAATTCTAAGATTCTTTTATCAAAATAGGTAGTTGTGGAAATCCTGCTCTAATTTTTACTTTATTAGTTTAAAAGCACCATCCTTGATATAAGGATTATGTACTAACCTTTCAATCTCATTTAGCCTATAAATAAAATGTCTTTTACACAAGTGGAAAAAAATTGCTATGAGATAGCACTTTTAGAATCAATAAGAGAACCAAGTCCTTATGCAATCTCTAACAGCACTTGATCTTCTAATCTAAATGTTTAGAAGATAAAGTTCACTATCATTGTATTTGGTTCTATTTTTCAAAGTACTTTTTACCATTATAAAAATAATAAAGAGATTCAGTGATTTTCTAGGAAAAAAGAATTTATCTTGGATGCCCAATCTCTTTGTTAGGTAGGCTGCTTGTCTGCCATCTCCCTTGTGAGATATTTGGGCTGAACAGGGAAGTAGTTGGATGGTGTCTAGAGATTAATATAAAGTTGCTTGAATGGCTGTGAGAGAGCAGAATGGACAGCTCTTCTAGCAGCTCTGGGGGACCGGAGAGCAACTTATAAGGGATTCTGCAAACAGAGGTTCCAGACCACTCACCCATCTAGAAATTACTCAGGCTGGACAACTGATGAACCAAGACTGGTGTTTTCTCTTAAATGTTTCCATAGCTAATTTTGAGTAATTTAGAAAATTTTCAAAATGCTTTGGTCTTCTTGGTGTGAGAAACTAAGCATTAGCAATATTCACTGGAGTTAGAGAGTTGARCTCCGTAGACTAGCCACCCCAAAAGAGGTAAAACGATACTGGTCCTTCTCATTTCCACTCCCTAACATGTTCTCTGGCTATGAAGATGGAGTGGAGCATATAATGGAGAAATCATCAAATGGAGGCAAGACTCTAGGCCCATTTTTATTTGTTATTCTGTGATTTAGAAAAACAAAACCAAAAACACTAATACTAGTCTCAGCATGCTTTTTTTTTAAAAAATAGACACAATATCTTTATTTGATTTGTTTATTTTTATGTGGTGCTGAGGATTGAACCCAGTGCCTCATACGTGCAAGGCAAGTGCTCTACCCCAACCCATCAGCATACTTTTTAATTTCCAAACATCTCTAATAGAAAATGATCCCGACCCCTCATAGGCAGAAATGTCTGAAAATAATTTGTCACACATTTATGTGATACACATGTTTTTATGTGTTGCGAGCAATATATAAATTATGGGTTTGKWTGAGCCATTAAGGCAGGGAAGTTGCTTTTCTGGAAACTCCTGGGTGAAATCCCGGGGTTCAAGAAATCCCAGATCATGCTAGCACCCCGCCTTACCTCACAGCCTTAGGATCAAACAACACCACCCAGAGATGGGCATAATCTGCCTAGCACAACCTGTTTATCTCCACTCTTATCCTGTCCCCAAGGAAGGAGATCCCTATGGATCCCCTTTGGTCTGTATCACTATAAATAAAGCAAGCGCTGGCTTTTATCTCACTGTTAGGAGCCAGACCCATCATGTCTRCTCAACCCGACACGCCCCTGCTTTGTGAAAATATATAATTCTTGCCTTTTTGTCTTATTTCTTAATATACTACTTTCGTAGCTTTTGTTTCACAGCCAGCCCATCCCCCTGACCTTTACCCATTCCCTCTATCACACTGGATGTGGTCCAGATTTGTGTATAAAGTTTAACTTGGATTAGTGAAAATCAGATTGATAAGGTACAATTACCTGGTAGCAAAGAAAAAATTATGCTGATCTGAGATGAATACAAGGACTTAAGCCACTATAAATCAGCTTTGCCTCCAATTGACATTTCTCCTTTCCATTCCCACTCCATTTTCTACAGTACTGTCAGATAGGGAGACATGCACTGAGGAAGATAGAGCAGGGCAGGAAGACGGGCGAGGGGTGGGGAGAGGGCATGGAGCTGCTGCTTTAAGCAAATGGGCTGGGACTTTACTGCAGAGGTGACATTAGAGCACAGATGAGATGGTGACAATATAAGGACAATGCTGCTGCAAAGCCTTCTCTCCAGTGCATGGACACTCAATTGAAATAATGAGGATGAAGCCATATGGAACCAGTTTTAATTATGTTTTGTATTCAGCTTTAAAAATGTATAAATGTGGGGACTTTCAAATGCAAGGCTTGGCTTTGAAATAAAAACTAGTAACACACAGTTGGCTTAAAATTAATTAGTCACTGACGATGCACAAAGAAGCTCATGATTAAAGCACTTTTAAACAGATATAACAAAGTCAGCACCRTGACTAGAATAATCAGAATCTTTTCCAAATGGGACAGATTATCTCAAACACAACTTTACTAGTTTTCAAAGAAGGAAGTTATATCTATTAGTGATTAGGATTTCGATGGAATTATTAAGAGAATGAGATTTAAAAATTAAGGTACAAAGTTACAAAATGGCATAGACCTAGATAATATATATCATATATATTATTCGAGTGTGCATATTGGCACACACTCTGTGTGCGTAACTGATAGAATGATGGAATTGAAACACATATTAGATCTTCTGAGCAAAGCCTGAAGAACCTCAGGAATGCTCCCAGTAAAGAAGATTAGTGACTTTGACTTTCATGCTCTTTAGAATGTGAGGTATTCAAATGAAATTACTTATTTTATTTGCATTTAACTCAGGTAGCCTAACATTGCAGACTGTCAGATAAACAGATAAATAGTATAATACTTGTTCTTCCACTTTTCAAGTGMAGAATGGCATGCTGATACTTTGGATGCTCCAGTGAATTGAGTCCATGGTTCTGGTAAATTAACATCAAGATGCCACTTGGAACCTCTTTCTTGAAGTCACAGTTGTCCTCTGAAAAGATTTAGGCAAATATTGTGAACCT